ATGGCCACCAGGGTGACGTAACTGCTCTACAAAGCCACCCCATGGTGGCCCCAATGTCCCATTGGTCACCACCCCATGATCCCCATGGCAGCCGAGATGGGGGACATGGGGACACGGTGGCCACCATGGCCACCAGGATGATGTAACTGCTCCGTGCAGTCACCCCATGGTGACCCCAATGACCCCGTTGGTCACCACCTCATGGTCCCCATGGCAGCCGAGATGGGGACATGGGGACATGGTGGCCACCATGGCCACCAGGGGGTTGGAGCCGCGGTGACGATGGCGATGGCCGCCATGGCCCAGGTGTTGCGCGCCCAGCGGGTGCGGTCGATCCAGGTGGAGAAGGCCACCATCTTTTTGGGGAAAGCCTGCGGCCACAAGGAGGATTCGTCACCGCCACGTCCCTGAGGCGCGTCCACCATGTCCCTGAGGCGCGTCCGCCATGTTCCTGAGGTGCGTCCGCCACGTTCCCGCGGCATGTCCGCCACGTTCCCGCGGCATGTCCGCCATGTTCCCGCGGCGCGTCCGCCATGTTCCCGCGGCGCGTCCGCCATGTTCCCGCGGCGCGTCCGCCATGTCCCCGCGGCTCGTCTGCCATGTCCCCGAGGCGCGTCCCGTCTCACCCTCGGGAAGACGGCGGCCAAGGAGCAGAGCGTCAGGCCCAGCAGCAGCACCTCGCCCACCACGAAGGTCACGTAGTTGGTCACCAACCTGCCCGGAAACCCCCGCGGGGGACGTCAACGGCGACGCCGCGACGCCGCCCGGCGCGTCAACCGGGCGTCCCCCCCCGGCCTACCAGGGGTCGATGGCGGCCTCCACCAGGGCGGTGAAGAGGAGGACGACGCAGGAGCAGCTGAAGGCGGCGCCGCTCTGCTTCTCCTTCTCCACCGAGTAGCGCGTCTCCATCTCGGGGTCGGTGAAGCGCAGCGACAGCCGGAAGGTGCTCTTGCCCTTCAGCCTGGCGGGAATTTTTGGGGGATTTTTGGGGGTTTTCAAGGATGTTGGGGAATTTTTGGGAGATTTTTGGGGAAATTTTTGGGGATTTTTGGGGAATTTTGGGAGAATTTTTGGGGATTTTTGGGGAATTTTGGGGGGATTTTTGGGGAATTTTTGGGGGATTTTTGGGGATTTTTGGGGAATTTTTGGGGGATTTTTGGGGATTTTTGGGGAATTTTTGGGGATTTTTGGGGAATTTTTGGGGAATTTTTTGGGGATTTTTGAGAAGTGTTGGGATTATTTTAGGTTTTGGTATTTTCTGGATTTTTCAGGATTTTTTTGGGAATTTTGGGGAATTTTCAGGATTTTTGGGAGATCCTGGCAATTCAGGGGAGTTTTTGGGAATGTTCTGGAAATTTTCAGAAATTTTGGGATTTTTGGGGAATTTTTGGGGATTTTTGAGAAATCTTGGGATTGTTTTCAGTTTTGGTGTTTTCCGGATTTTTCAGGATTTTTTGGGGAATTTTGGGAAATTTTCAGGATTTTTGAGAGTTCCTGGCAATTCAGGGGAATTTTTGGGAATGTTCTGGAAATTTTCAGAAATTTCTGGATTTTTGGGGAATTTTGGAGATTTTTTTAAGTTTTTGGGAAATTTTCAGGAATTTTTGGGAATTTTGTGTTATTAGTTAGGAATTTTGGGGGTTTTGGAAATTTTTGGGATTTTTGAATTTTCAGGAATTTTTGGGATTTTTTTGGGATTACTTAGGAATTTTCGGGGTTTTGGAAATTTTTGGGATTTTTCAGGATTTTTCAGGAATTTTGAGGAATTTTCTGGAATTTTTAGGGGAATTTTTTTGAATTTTCAGGAATTTGGGGAGAATTTTGGGGATTTTGGGAGAATTTTTGAGAACTTTGGGGATTTTCTGAAAATTTTCAGGAATTTTTGGAAATGTTTGGGACTTTTCAAGGTTTTTTGGGGACTTTTTGGGAATATTTTTTGGAATTTTGGGGATTTTTGGGGGAATTTTTTCGGGGATTTTTGGGAATTCTTTGGGAATACTTGGGGATTTGGGGGGAATTTGGGGATTTTTTTTAAATTTTGGGAGTTTGGGTGATTTTTTGGGTTTTTCTGGGAAATTTTAAGAATTGTTGGGAATTTTTGAAAATTTCTGGGATTTTTTTTATTTTTGGCATTTTAGGGGGAAATTTTTGTGACTTTTAGGAATTTTCAGGCATTTTCAGGAATTCTTGGTCATTTGGGGGAATTTTTTTAAATTTTCTTGTGAATTCTTGGGAAATTTCGTGAATTTTTAGGAATTTTGGGGCAATTTTTAGAATTTTTGGTTTGTTTTTTTTTTAATTTTTTGGGGAATTTACGGAATTTCGGGGAATCTTTTGGAACTTCCCTGAATCTTTGCGAGTTTTTGTGCATTAATTTGTAACCCTCAATGAATTTAAGTGAATTTTTTGGGGATGTTTTTTTTTGGCGACTTTTCAGGAATTTTCGGCAATTTTCCGGGAATTTTGGGGGATTTTTTTGGGGTTTTTTTTGGGAATCCCGGGCACTCACGCCTGGATGGACTCGCGCTCCAGCAGGGCCTCGTTGAGCAGCCGGTGCAGCTCCTGCTCGTTCTGCGCCGCGCCCGCCACGCGCTCCGCCAGGTCCCGCAGCCGCAGCCGCCGCCGCGGGTTCGGGAACGACGGGTTGGGCGCCTGCGGGCCCGGCCACACCGTGGGGACACCGCGGGGACACC